TTACCTCCGATTATTTGTTGTAAAGTTCTGGGGGTTTGAAAATAGCCAATTTGGCCATGTTTTGGACGAAATTATGCGCGCTTTGAAAAGTATATTCATAATGCTGAGAGCGTAATGCAAAAAATGTATGCGTGATGATTTGTTCCGCACCAAAAAATTGTTTCAAATTGAATTGAGGCTAGCTAATTGGTCATGTTAATTTCGTACGACTAAAATATTGACACTATTGTCCAAAATTTATAGGTTTTCAATATTTTTTTAACCAAAAACTATTCGATATGGATTAAGGGACAGTCGGAACTATCAGGGCTCTGCCCTGATATACGAGCAGTCTTGTTTGTCTATTTCTGGTATGTGTACAATGACCACAAAAAGTTGCTCGTTTTTTAACAAGAGACGCGTTTTTTAATCTGTTCTGTATGTACGAGGCAGTTTAGGCTCACGACTCGATGTGCTTAAATATGATGTATCACTTAACCCATTCCAATGATTAATAGTTCATTTCATCTGATTTTGTGCGGGAAAAAACTAAAATAGACCCGACTACAAAGGTCTCCCCATTTTGCATGATTATTTTTTTGCTATCAATTTTCATTAATAATCGTATCATAATCTTTCCCGAAGTAGCCCTGTGCTTATCGTTTGACTTGAATAACTTTGAAAGGTGTTCCTAATCTGTTTTCATATTGTTGACTACCTACCCTTTGATTACTAGCATTTTATAGATCTCCTTAGCATTAAAATTAATTTGAACTTATTGTAAAATTGCATAGGCTAAAAACTTTGTTATTAGATCGGGTGGTTATAATGAGAAAGAGCCCAACGACTAATTGGTGCTATCTTTCCATCAACGCGTAGCGCATGAGTTTAGTGAAAGATGTCAGAAAACATTCGAAGTTGAATGGAGGCTAGCGTATTCGTCCAATTAGCTCGTCACCAGATAATAAATATATCATTAGGTACTTAAAAATACGTGTGATGGGAAATTTTATCAAAAAAGTAAAAATGCTTCGAATGCCTCTTGAAGAAATCCAAAAAAAAGTTCTGGGTTTTGCCCTGATACGAGCAGTGGCAGGGGCGGATTTAGGGGCGGATTTAGGGATTCGACCCCCTGCCGACCCAAAGGGTCCCCCCTTTGAACTATTTTGAGATATCCAATTTTGACTGATGGACCCTAAATTTTTTCGGCTCCAATCTACACTAAGTTTGAGGGGGAGCGCGCGCCGAAAAAAAAGCGATTTTTTTGGTAAAAAATTTCCAAAAAGTGCCTTTTTGGCCTGTTTTTGTTCACAATTTTGCCTACGGCGCAGAAGTTTTGGCCAAAATAATGACTTTTTAGTGCTTTGCATAGCTCGGAAAACCAATTTGGTCGACCTAAAAAAAGGTCGACAAGATTTCGATTTTTTTTTTGAAAATCCGCCCCCCCCCCCCTCTAGAAAATCCTAGATCCGCCCCTGAGCAGTAGTATTATTTTCGGTGAAACAAATATTGCGGTCAGCTATTACTTTTTGCGTCAAATTACGCGGTGTTGCTCACATTTTTTGGCAAGGACGAGTAGGCTAATTTGGTTCAGGTATAGGAGAAAAAGTTTCAAGGAGCAGAATAGGTCTCATGTGTCCAGTTCAGATCAAATCAAACTTGTTTTGAAATGTTGCTTGCAACTCAAGCAGTTCACACACCCTGCCGCCGTTAAATGCTCCTATAGATTCCTTAGCAACTGAACATCTTTACTTTATCGGGTGTGGAACTCGAAATGAAATGGTTTAAAAAAATTAGCAACCACAGCAAAGTCTTTTTTGTTATTTTTTTCTCAATTTGTGCCTGCCTTTTATAGACGTGGTTGATTAATTCGTTAGATGATGTCAGCAATGACACAAATGGATTAAAATCAATTATCTACAAAAAAATTATACAGATTTCAGATCTGTTGGTGTTTTATAAAGTTAAGCTTCGATTATATAGTTTAAAAAATTGATTATAACGCATTTCAGTTTTGAAAACTTTATACTGTAAATCTTCATTATATAAACAATCCCAAAAGACTCTAAAACTATTTTTTCTGTATCAAACTTCCTGTATACTATATACAGACCGTATACTGATTATATACAGATTATCTACAGTTCATTTATAGATTATCTACAAACTTATACAAATTATACACTGATTAAATTCGTATTATATAAAGATTATTTAATGGTTTTCGCAATATACTAGATAATCAGATAATCTTAATTATAATGTAAGCTTCTCAGTTAAATTTTTGTGCTGATGCATAATCTGAAAAAAAGCTAATAAAACAGTACTCTGGAAAAATCTTGCAGAAAAAACTAATTTTTCTTAATATAATTTTTCAACTTGATGTTTTCTTTACGAAATTGCGCAAAAATTTTCATTTTAGAAATGTTATTTGCAGAGAGTTCACACAAAAGTACATTTATTAGCGCGAGAAAATTTAGGTTGCAAAATCTTGGAAGGGTCTCTTTAAAAATGAAATTTGAGGTAAACAGTTCTCCTGAAGTGAGTTCAGCTCAGTGTAACACTGAGGTAGATATTTCCCGGTTACAAATTTTTGTTAAAACTTGTGAAACATTCATACTGTTAAGTTTTGGTTGCTGTTAGCATCCTATAGTTTGTAGACAACTTAATCAATTTTATACCAATTTTATATATATTATGTGCAATTAATCTACAGAATATATACAGATTATTTGCCGATTATAGACAGATTTTGTTTTACAATGATTGAATATTGAAACTATACAGATTATCAACAGATTACATACAGGTTTAATACAACAAAAAAATTAATGATTTTGGCACTAAAAATCTTCTATTTTGATTGAAAAAAGAATCTTCTTTTTGTTTTCAAAATGGTTATTTATAAATTGAATTAAAACTTTAATCGGTAGATTTTTCTGCATATAATCAATTTTTATTCGTTTTTGTCACGGGAACCTAGAGTGCCGATTTAAATTTTCCAGACAAAACGCATCAAACTAGAATTATAGAAACGCATTTTTCTCAGATTGGATCGAGTTTAGGTGAAAAATGAAGAACACAGAACTTGCTTAGAGTTTTGGTAAAGTTAATATGGTGCTATTTGTTTTGCAAAACTCGGGCAGAAAACTTTACCAAAATAGGGATCTTTTTGGATTTTTTTAGTTATTCAAAATTTACGCCAAAAATATTCAGTCAATTTTTCATACAAATATAATAAAGTGAGCCTGTTACGTAGTCAGGAAAAGTTTAATAAAAGTAGAATCTCCTAAGCATTTGCGCAAATTGTTTAAAAATTGCTACGTCCTAAAAACCCAAAGAGAACTTAAAAACGTATAATCTCCAAAAAAGTTCCCTTATTAATATGTTTTTGTCTACCAAACAAAAATAAAATAATATATATATATATATATATATATATATATATATATATATATCAAATTTTAGGCTGTTTTAAATGCTATTGGGGCCCGTATGAGGCTCACTTTGACATTAATTTGTCATTATTTGACCGGTATTTTTGTTAATTAATTAAAAAATCCGAAAATGATCCATGTCTGGGGTAAAGTTTTGAACTCGAAACTTGCAAAACAAATTGTACCATACCTTTTCTGCTAAAATTTTAAGCAAGTTTTTTCCATACCATTTTCTTTTAACCTCAAAACAACTTGCGGAAAGTGCGTTTTAATTTTTAAGTTTTTACCCGTTTTATTCGAATAATTTAAATCAGCTTTGTATACCATTTGTCCCTAAAACTTATACTTTTTTAGCCAATCTTTTTTAAATTTTTTGTTTCGGTGATTTATATCTTGGCCGAGGCTCTTACTCTATAATTTCGACGTTCAGTATCAAGTGTTCGATAAATAATCTACAGTCGAGATGGCATAGGATAAAAAAACACTGAATCGAGTGTTTTCGCATATCACTCCTAACTACACCTTGAAAAAAGAAACAAAGATTGTAACACAAAGATGATCCACGAAAAAATGCTGATTTTTAATATGGTGCAGGCTATTACTAAGCGACAGCATCTGAAATTAGCCTCATACAAGTTATTTTTTCAGCTTTTTGCCAATTTCTTTTCAGAAAAATTGCACAAGTTTGATTCTAAGCGCCTTTTAAACTGCTGCTTGATTCCCAGTGTTACAGTTTTCCAAGTTGATTCAAAGCTCTGGACATCAGCCTTGCATTTCTCAATTAAACCGATCCATATATAATATTTGAATTTGCGCTTCGGAGTTTAGGGGCGAGGGGGTATAAAAGGGTTCCTAAGCTTATCGCCCCGCGTTTTTTGACCCCCTTTTTCTTAGCCACTCTCTTATAACCCCAGAATTAGATAACCCCACTACAATTTACCCTCTTTCAAATACTAATTGTTAGAATCAAAGTGAAACTTACTTGAAAGGATTTAAGAACCATAACATCAAGGCATTATAAGCGAAAACTTTATCGACGCAAAACGAAATAACATACATGCTGCTAAATGCGGTTTAGATTTGAACAGAAATGACCTTGCCGATAGTCTAGACCTTGATATAAAATTGAAAACCAATCCAATTGGCATGATTCAGATCATTAACTAAAAATGATTAGATTTCTCCAAAATTGAACTTGATCTTGAAAATAATCTTTGAGATAATTTTTGAGATGCCAGAGGCATCAAGTGAATTAAGACGGGCTTTTCCGGCTCCAATTAGTACACCTAAATGGAATACTCCTGTACATTTAAAAAGAACTTAATTTGAAGCAAATTATCGGTATTAAAAGATGTTTAAATTGTTGTGGGGTTATCTTGTTACGGGGTTATAAAATAGGGTGTAAAAATTGGGGGTTAAATAACGTGGGGTTAACGAGTGGGACATCGTATAAACGACCCTTCTTTGCCCATAAAAATTAATCAAAACCTCTAGTACCTGTTGCGGTTTGAGAATGAAAAAAGGCACAGCGTCCTGCGCAGAATTGAAACCGAAAGCAAGCTTTTTGAAAAATTAGAAAATTGATTGAATCAGTAAAATCGCATTCCAGAAAGTAAATTTTGGCATCAGCAGAATATAATAAAATTACATCGAAACTGGTTAGAAAGGAAACATTTTAATGAATAAGTAATTTGACAGCGCATCGCAGACATCCAGTTTAGTTCGTTTTCTTAGAAATGGAACCTATTTTGTTTTCTAGGGTTCGGTACAGTTGTTTTACTCGGGGGCCCCTGTCACATCCGCAATGTGTCGTGGCATTCCAACTCGGGTTCCAGCCATGCTTGCGAACTAAAACTCAAAAAGATCTCTTTGCTTAATGAACATTTCCCAACTCTTCGAACAATTTTTCTTCAATTACTCATTCATTATTTTAATTTTCGATTTCGTTTTTTCCTTTAGGCCTTTAGCGAGTTTGTGTATGAGAGGTGATTTCGCCTCTACACCATGCTTAAGACTAGGACCATTTATTTATCCACGATGAAAAAACGCAACCTGAGAGCTGTTAAAATCTTTACAGAGGACCGATGCTGTGTCCATTCTTAAGAGCTAAAATGGGTGTTTATGGACTCTTTTTCTGGGCTGTGAATTTTATGGCAACGAGTCATACCAAGATGGATGCTGGAAGTCAACTGCGGATCCTTGTTTGAGTGTTTCGAAGCAAAGTGTAGTATACATCTACTTGCATGAGTAGGAAAAAACAGGCTATCCTGAGACAGACTGGGGTTAAAGAGTGGGACATCGTATAAACGACCCTTCATTGCCCATAAAAATTAATCAAAACCTCTAGTACCTGATCAGCTTTGATCAGCGAATAGCCAGAAATCTAGTTTCATTAATAGAACTCATAACGCCAAGGTTGTTAGAGAGCGATCGTGGTCTTTTTGTATTTGTACGTATGCAAACGGCGTGTGGAAATGAGATGAAAAGCTCGTATGTTGGTTCTTTCCCTCGTTGATACATGGTCTTTAAAGTTATCTTGAAAAACAAAATTTTTGTTGTTGGGCTGTGTTGATTTGGTACCTTGTTGGATCCCGCCTGCATGGACACCTGGGAGTCCCTAGCAGACTTGATTTCCTCGTCTGTGAAGTGTCGCCTGTTCTCCTCCGATGGCTTCACTCCCAAAGTGGGCCCACTGAAGTTGGGCAGAGCTTGCACCTAAGAATCAACACAGTCAATAAGGTTCGAATTTTATTTAGCTTGTTTTATTTTCACAAATTTCCAGATTTTCAATTTGGAATAATCAGGCGTATGGAATATTCAGGCGAAATGTTCAGGAATATTAGGCCTAACCCTAACTCTAAGGTTTTAAGGAGCCTAACGAATCTAAAGCAACTCTTTCGCACCCCATTGTGTTTTCCGAACTACTGCGCACTTCTGCAGCTCAGCTCCTCAATTCGTTTTTACTATGTTAGATTTTTGATAACCCGGGTTGACCAAAACTTCTTATCATATAATTTCCATATATGAGAAACTTCTTTTCATACAATTTCATACAATTCCATACGTACAGAAAATTGTATGAAAACTCTATGATAAGCATTTTTCCATATATGAAAATTGTATGATAGTGTGTTTTTCCATAAACCAAAAATTTTGATTTTTTCTTTCTAAATTTAGTTTCTGAAAATTTTCGGTTGTATTTGCAACCGAACACAAGTAACAAAGACCTTGGTTACTCAAAACACCAAAGGTTGCACGGTCTTGCATTGACAATGCATAGAAAACGACCTGAATGTGACTGTAGTTTACAATTGATATAACAAAAGTAACAAACATTTATTTTTTGGCAGAATTTTTTAATGATGATTATTTCAAATTTTTGAATTTTCAAATTATGAGACATTGATCAAGGCATACATTAACACCCCATACAGAAAAAATAGGAATTTTCCGCGTTTTTGAAAAAAATATATAAGTGAAAAGAAAATAAAAGCCAATTTTATCGTATCCTGGACTACGTTATGCACACAAAATATTCAATTTTGCATGCAAAAAAAGTTTTTCGAAAAATGTTTGTTTGCGTACGAATTTCGATTTGCGGTTGAAAAAAAAACAAAAAAATTTTTGGGCCAAATTTTCAAAATTACTTTGTGTCGCCATCAAAAAAAATGCCAGTCATACAATTTCCATATATGGGAATTGTATGATAAGCATTTTTTTCAAAAAACGAAAACATCAGTTTTTATCACCAGAACTGTTTTATTAGAATCAAACAGCCGCAGAAACGAGTTTATACCAGTTTTCAACCATTTTTAGAAATTGTATGAAAATTGTATGACAAGCATTTTCCCACACACTTGATGTATGGAATTGTATGATAAGCATTTTCGGTGTATGGAGGTCAACCCGGGAAGGTAGATCAATTTGGCTCGGGGGGCAATAATTGGAATGAGGCCGGTAGAATAACCAAATTCGGGACTTATTCTACCGGTCCCTTTCCGATCATAGCCTTGATTACACATGCCTCAAATGTTTCAAAGAGGTTAAAAGAAACCTAATCATTAAAAGATCAAAAGCGCGGTATCTCTCTCTGCAAGTGAAATATGTTTCACAAAAAAATACAAAAAACGTGCAGGCTGTTGAGTGCAAGAAAAATTGTTATAAAAGCATTTTGTGCAAAACAATGAAAAACTTCTTATGAAAGGTTCACAAATCCGAACGGAAGATAATGTAACCAAGAAAAGATGTCGGTAGAAAAGCTGTAACCCCGTCGTGAACCAGTTTGCGAACTGGATTAGATAAATTACAGCATCCAGAAGCTTTATGCATATTGTTGCACTATTTATAACATGATTTTCAACTGGCAATCTTCTTGGATGCTTTTATGTTCTCATTGTTTGTGCTTTTCCTCAAACTTTGACTGAATTTTATTCGAAAGTTTTCATGGCTAACCAGGAATTTTTCAGGAATGTGAAACCTGATCTAAACTACATTTTATTATTGAATAGTTTAGATATTTTACCACTGTAAAGTTTTTAATATTAACCAATCATAATCCATCCAACTATCAACCCACTTATTTGTAAGTGCTGAAATTACTTGTAATTTCAGCACCAGAGAGATTTGAATTTAACTTAGAAATTAGTTGCCTCTCCAAGAGAATTTCAGCTGCCGCAATAAGCCAGTATACTCTAGATCTATTGAACCTAGCAGAGACTAGTTAAACACCCTGAGACTAGTAGATATAAGAGTAAGATTAGGATCGGTATTAGACTAAGAAGTTGCACGAATCTATCCGGCCGAAAATAAGATAGCGTGACGAGCAGACGGTGTACCCTATCCGAAATTACTCTATGAGTTAACCACTTCGGTTATAACTCATCTGGTGCGACCATAAGTCTCGAATAAGACCTTAATAGCTTAGAGTTAACCAAAAATAGATTAGAAATTAGACAAAACATTTTCAAAATGTTACACGATAATAACTTAATTGAAATGTCTCTACGCTTCAATAGATCAGAACCGACATTCCGCACAATACTAGAACTAGCTGGTATTGGAAAAAGACCTCGGACAAGAGACGATATACGACTACATAGAAACTTACCAATTAGTTTCATGGTTGTAAGGCAAAAGCCAACACAAACTTTTATATTTAAAATCTTACTAGCATTGAATTTAGATTTTCATTTGCAAACATAAAATTTTGAAGTAAATCTTCATGATCATTTCAGGCGCTAAACAAAATTATTAATGTACAATAACGAATGATAAAAAGGTTCCAGATCGTTTTCCTGATTTCTGTAGTATTATTCAAATTATATTTGAAAAATATTTATTGAAAATAAAAATTAGTAGCATGACAATAAATTGTTAATATATATAAATCATCCTGTTGTATCAGCTTCATCACCAAAACATAACAGCAATCATAAACTCACTAACATCATTAAAAAAACTAAATCTTTTTATTAAATAAATTTAAACCATTTTAAACTTGAATTTACTAAATTTTAAACCAGATCATCAAGGCTTATCCTTGGATCTTAATAAATTTTTTATCTCATTAATTTTTAATTCTGATCATCAAGGCTTATCCTTGGATCAAAAAGAACACTTTTGTTCTCCCCCACTCACTTAGCAAGTGTCTAACGACCTCAAACGTCGATTCACTATCCAACCTTCCCAAAAGACCCAAGACTAATAGAAATTTTTAAATAAAACTAACCATTCAAATTAAGTTAAACAGTGAAGAACTTCGGTTATTCATCCTTCACTTGAACCCTCCTCTTAACAGACCCAGGATAGATCTTAGACTAAGTAAGTTTAAAATAGTATCTAACGAACTACTTTCGTTCTAATTATACCTGAACCTTGTGGATTGATTTACTATTCTCCAACCCTTGAACACAATCACTACCCCTAAGTAAGATTAAGTAGGTTAACACTTTAACTTAGACTAGCCACGAGAAGGTAAAAAAAATCATTCTTCGAAATCGATATACTTTTCTCTCCAACCCTGAACAAAAAGACCCAGGTTAAGCTAACCAAAAAATCGTAAGGACTAACAGTCTAGGAAATTAAAAATCACTAATAACTTCTTGCATCCCTCATCCTAAACCTTATGTCATTCAAAAATTTAGGAAATAAACAAACAATCGTTTTACACAATTGTGAAATAGATAAGCAAAAATACGATCTTGTAATTACTCCACATACACAAACAGTTGGATACATTCGAACAAAACGACAAACAATAAAAAGAAAAATTATAAACAAACAAAGACAGATCACACGAAAAAGATTTTCAAAAAGTAGAAACGCATTTTCTGAATCAGAAGCCAACAATTTAGACGAACTTTTCCGACTCAGAAACAACTTCAAACTCATCAAAAAGAGGAAAAAGAAGAATAAAAAAGCAATATAAACACAAACCAGTACACCTGTTTAAATGGAATCAACCAATTAGACACATTGATAGTTACATATTAACAGTCATCAAACGAAAAAATGAGCCACACTCAAAGTGACAAAAGTCCAGATGAAGAAACAATTTTCCCCTTTCTTATAGATTCACTCGATCATAGAGGACAAACACGATTTTGTATGAACTTACTCGTAAATTTGTTTGAACCAGGAATCAGTCCATGCAAAGCAGAATTCCCAGATGTAAAAATCAAAAGACAAATTATTGAACATTATTTGAAAAACATATGTAATCTAACACAGCAATGCGGAATCTACACCATAGAATTTAGCACACCAAATACAGCCCATCGTAAATATGTAATTCAAACAGACGATATTGAATTAGGTATTTTCAAAAGTATTCGTAGAATATATCAAAAGCATACAATATCATATTTCACAAAGAGCAAACTCCATATTCACTAACGAAGTTTTTGCAGTAATATATAGTTATATATCTATATTGGAAAAAACAGAAGTTCAAAGTATATCACCAACAGAAACATCCAAACATACAAAAGTAAGAAATGAAATCACAGTATTTTCAACATTTCTACATATAATTCGCAAAAATTTCTTCAGTTAAAAAAAGTTTTTTTATTAAAAAAAAACATTACTAAAAAAGATTTTTCACAAAACACTAAACACGATTTACAAAAGATTTTAGCATGGTTTATAATAGATTATTTCACCCACAATTTAGATTTAATTTCACAAGTAAGAAAAAATTTCAGACCTCAAAATACCAATGACGACATTGTCATTTCAGAACAATCAGATTACGTTTGGGACCCTGACTGGTCTCATCCAGCATTTCTGAATTTTCCACAAGGTATCTCGAGTCAAGCAATAAGTACAATATCTTTCCACAGAGATTATGTAAAAGTAATACCCTTAACCATTGACGCAACACCATTAAATTATAATACATTTTTACCTGATACACGAAATAACAGCTTAAATTCAACAGTCATACATAATAAAAGTCTCAATGGAACAAGAAATCTTACACAACAAGATATTCAAACACCATCACACTTCATAAATGAAGAAATCGTCCAAACAACAGCAACAACTACACAACTAAGTATTTCACCAATGCATCCCAATCTGACAACACCAAGAAATACAAATACATTACTAACACAAGTAACCTTACAATCAACCGTTGAACCTTCGGTTGCTCCAAAATATTCACACATGGACTATCAAACCTATAGACCAATGACAATACCGTCAAAAACACA